GCGTTTCTTCCTCGTCATATTCATTTTGGGTCATGGAAAGAAACCGCATCATAGCCTTTTTGAAGACGGCCATGGGTGCGGTTGGGAAACTGAAAAAAGAGCCCAGCATTATCGCACATGGTGCTTTACTGCATCTGAGCTACGTGGAAGGCTTTACATCGATCGTCGAAGTAAAGCCTTATGGTTTTGAGTGGCAGAGCAATAATTCCAGTGACTGGTCAGAAACCTTTATTCTACTTTCTTTGAGAAATGGAAGCCCTCCAAATTGGTCTGAATGAAAGCACTTCGCCAGCAGTAGTAAGTCGCTTTCAAGGCTGCTGTTGGCTCCAAAGCATGCTGAAGGCGGTTCGATTTCCTAGCTTCTGGCCACAATAATAGTTATTATTTCCGCAAATCCTAGACGGATTAGTTTTAACGTTGGCTGGCTTGTATCGCGTGTCTGTGTTTGGGAGTGGACACCATTTGAAGTTAAGTCAGTGTCAGGAAGGTAATTTTCATAAGTTGTGCATTTTCAGGGCAGTTGTTCTGTTGTGATCCAAGGATGTGTTTCACCGAGTAACTATGTTTGGCCTGCTTACTTTGGTTTGCCTCAGCCCCAGGGTTCTGTCTGACAAGGTAAGATGTTCCATAAAGTCAGTTTCTTTACCACTGAATTTTGTTATAGAGGGATAATGACTCGACCAGCTACCGACCAGCTGCTCAGCATCGCCAAATGTCGTCATCTGCTTCGAGGCCTGCAGTTCCCAATCCCTCAGGAGGAGCAGCAGCAGCATCAGCAGATGATTCCGACGACTCCATTCAATCTGGTTTTGATTCGGATAAGCAGATGGTCGAGATTTCTGATATGGTTCGCTTTGGAAAGCGAAATACGAATGATTCGCCGCAAGCAAAGCGTCTAAAGCCTTTTGAAGGTGAGCGTTTACCGCTTTCTTCTCAGGTTTCTTTGTGTTAGAATGCGCGAAATAACTTTATTGAAATTGCTGTAAGTGACTGGCAGAAATAGCATAACTTATTAATAATTGGGAAAGTTATTTTTACACCCCGACAAGGATAATGTTGTGGTGTCCCTTGACAGTTTGTCCAGATTTATATACAATTCTTCTTTCTTTTTGGTAGTAAGATATTTCAACTTACTG